CCGGCTGGTTTTTGATTGATTGTGGGGATGAGTTCTCGCCGCCCAGGCGGGTCTCGAACCCGCGGGCTCAGGCCGTCCCCTCCCCTCAGCCTCCCCAAGGCGCGGGGTGATAGGCTGAGCCGCCGACCCCGGCTCGAGCTACACCTTCTATTTTGGGGGTACTGAGGAGTGGGTTTAGGGGTGGGCTTTTCCTAGGAGAAGGGGGATCTTAGGGCTGGGTTCCCCCCGGGAAGTTTCAGGGCTTACAAAGCGTCGTGCCCAGACCGTCATGGTGGCAGGTGTCCTGTGGGAGTGGGTGGCTCCCTTAGGGTAATTTTATGTCAGTGGTACTACCAGAAGGGCACAAGTGGGTCCTGGTGACCTCAGGTCAACCTTGGCTGTCGACGCGCCTGCTCCGGGCGTTCTCCAGGCTGCTTCCTGCCTTGGCGGTTAGGGTTAGTCAGCATCCTGGACGTCATCAGATGTCTTCCTTTCAATATTTCTTTTCATCTTCCGGGAGAGGAAAAAGTCACTGGGGACCAGATCGAACGCGTAGGGAGAGGGTTCCAATGCAGTTGTTTGTGCAACTGCTGGTGCAGTTTGTACAACAGTTTGTACAAGCGCTGTTTGTACAGTGCTGTCAACGTAAGCGCAGGGTGGCAAGTTTGCGAATGGAATTGTTAGACCTCCGCAAATAGCAACGACAGCTCTGATGGCCACTCCAGAGAAAGAACTCCAAAATTGCTTTGATGGGGGGGGGGCTAGGCTCTGGCGTTGGTGCATAGCTTCCCCAGGAGAGGATTTCGAAGGTCACTGTAGTGATCAGCAGTGAGGTGCGTAGCACTTTTTCTAGGATGGTTGGCGGATGTAATTGACAGGCCTCATATCTGAATGTATCATTTATCTACATCTGTCATCTATCTGTGTCCATCAACTATCTGCATCTGTCATTCACCTATATCTGTCGTCTAGCAATCTATCGTCTGTCTACTATCTATATCTATCATCTGTTTACTAGCTACCCATCCTCTACTATCTATACCCATCATCTGTCACCTGTCTACTGTCTCATTTGTCTGTTATCCATCTATATCTTTCATCCATCTATATCTGTCATTTATCCACATCTGTCACCGTGTCCATCGTTTATCTGTCATCCATCTGTATCTATCATCTGTCAATGTATCGTTGGTCTGCTGTCTATATCCATAATCTGTTTACTATTTATCTGCTATCTATCCGTCATCTATTACCTGTATCTATCATCTGTCACCTATCTGCTGTCTCATTTGTCTGTCATCCATCTATATCTCTCATCCATCTGTGTCTGTCATCTATATATCTATGTATCTGTCTCTGTCATCTGTCTGTCTGTCTATCTGTCTATCCATCCATCTATCCATGCGTCCATCTCCTGTCATCTGTCCATCTCCAGATCTGTGCACTCTCTCAGAACACAGCTGACTGCCTTGCTGGTGTGCATTCTCACTTTGTGATCTACTGGCATACTCAGTCCCATGGAGTTAAGTGCTGCAAGTGACCCATTGTGTGTGTGTGTGTGATAAATGATTTGGTTTATTTGAAGCAGAAAAGGAGGACATAAAACCAAGAGTAAGCGCTTTGTTCTCCACTTTCCCCTCATGCTCAGTCTCACAGTTTTAGTTCTCCTGAGGGCTAACTCGATTTCTTGGTTTCTCAGCTTTTGGTAGACGCCACCAACTCCCTGCCGTGGAAGAAACACCCACTTGCTCTGTCTTCCAAGACAGGTTATATAGTTTTAAGAATTCTTCTCATGGTTGGCTTCGTGACTTTTAATAAAGTATCTTTATTATGTTAATTATGCTCCCTGGCTATGCTGATGGGGGTTGAGGTGCAGAGGTTAAGCCTTCTGTAAGCTCCTGTTTATGTAAGTGTGGAGACCTGTTGGTGTGTTACTGACAAAACCTTTTTCAGACCAGGTCACAGTTTACTTGGGAATACAGTTCTCTAAAAGACCTATCCAGCTTCTGAGGTTCTAGTTTCCTGTGCCAGTAATTACACCCAGAGTTTTTCTGTTTTCATCCTTAATTCCCATGCACACTTCTCAAATTAGTGGAATCTGTCTTAGTTCATTTGAAATGATAGTCTTGCCAGGGAGGGTAACACCTTAACCTAATATCTACAAGTCTGAATCCTATTAAACTGAGAACGCTTTAAGCATCTTTGCTGAGCAAGGCTTTTTTTTTTTCTCCAGTCTAATCACTTTTTAATTGGGGTACAGAAAGCTTTGTCTTGTGAGACCCAAATTGATTGGCTCTCTTTCTTCTTTTCTTTATGTAGAGCTAAGGTCTGGCTATGTCGCCCAGGCTGGTCTCAAACTCCTGACCTCGAGCCACCATCCCGCCCTAGCGTCCCAAGGGGTTGTGAATACAGGGGTGAGTCACTGTGTGCAGCCGACTCTCTTCCTTCTAACTCTGCTTTTATTCCAGTCACTTCTCTTCTAAGATATTTCTCTTTCTTCTTTGGTGACAGTTCCTCAAAGATAGCAAGTAAAAGCAGCAGAAACTGACCTTCAGCCTCTTCTGGTCACTTTTCCTGTTACGTCAGACTCACTAGCAGGTAGTCGACTTTCTAGTTTTCCAGATATTTTGCTTTGTATCACCTGGGTTTAATGATGTGTCTGATCATTGTTTTCTGTCGGATGATCCTTACTTTAAAATTCATATTATAAACCTGAAATGTATAATGGTTAATAAGAAGGCTGATTTAGGCTTTCTTAAACTGTCTGTCTCTTAAATGGGAGTAAAGGTTAATTATGCACTCATGCATTTGAGGTGGAAGATTTTAGTGGAACTCTCCTGTAGGTTATGTGTTTGCGTCACATAACATACATAATTTTAAAATTAATTCTTTTGAATTTTTTTTAAATTAGTAGGAAAAAATTATCCCCCAAATAATCCGTAGCATAAATTTCTATATAAAAATCTTTGAGTATGACTAATCAAGAAGAAATAATTATGTATTCATAAACTCCGCCTATGTCAGAATCACCACGAATTGAACAGATACAGACTGTTTTGCTGTTTAAAATAGCACATGTAACTTTATCGTAGATGTCATAATATCTTGAAATAGTAAACTATTGTAGAAATTTTCCAATAATAGAATTATATAATGTACACAGGATTGCATAAGCTGTATGCATATAAAAATTGTGTAAACAGGCCGGGCACGGGACTCAAGCCTGTAATTCCAGCACTTTGGGAAGCCAAGGTGAGAGAATTGCCTGAGCCTACGGGTTCAAGATCAGCCTGGGCAACTTGGTGAGACCTCATCCTACAATAAATTTTTTAAAAATTGTGTAAACAGACTTTGTATTTATAATTAAAATAGGATTTTAGACTTAGAAAGTTACAAATTGAGACGAGGCACGGTGGCTTATGCCTGTAACCCAAGAGCTTTAGGATACCAAGGCAGGAGAATGACTTGAAGCCAGGAGTTTAAGATCAGCCTGGGCAAACATAACAAGACCCTGTCTCTCCAAAAATAAAAAAATGAGCTGGGCATGGTGACATGTGCTTGTAGCCTTAGCTACTCAGGAGGCTGAGACAGGAAGCTCACTTGAGCCCAGAAGTTGGAGGCTGCAGTAAGTTATGATCACATCACTGCATTCCAGCCTTGAGACAAAGCCAGATCCTGTCTATAAAAAAATTAAAATTGAGCCGGGCACAGTGCTTATGTCTATAATCTCAGCACTTTGGGAAACCGAGGTGAGAGGATTGCCTGAGTCCACAGGTTCGAGGCCAGCCTGGGCAACTTGGCAAGCCCTCATCTCTACAATAAATCAAAAAATTAGCCAGGAATGGTGGCGCATGCCTGTAGTTCCAGCTACTTGGAAGGGTGAAGTGGAAGGATCATCTGAGCCCAGCAGGTAGAGGCTGCGGTGGCTGTAGTGTGCCACTGTACTCCAGCCTGAGTGACAGAGTGAGACTTTAACTTAAAAGAAAGTAATTAAATTAAAAAAGAAAATTACAAATTGATTTTTTACCTACCAAAATGTCCAATAAGACAGTCAAACTGTGCAAGATGCAGGACAATTCTTCTCAGCTGAAGTTGCCTGTGATGTTCAAGCCATCTGGCATTTTAATAACCCAGTATAAATGCCAATGTCACTTGCAAAAATTTCCAGAGTCCCTAGGGGATGGCCCTGTGGGGGTGGCCTTTTGGGGAACTACAAGGCTATCATTTCCTCTTCTCTTATTTTCCTACCATTTCCTTTTTTTTTTTTTTGAGTTGGAGTCTCACACCATCACCCAGGCTGGAGTGCCGTGGCATGCTCATGGCCACCTCGGCCTCGCCCTGCTGGGCTCCGGCGATCCTTCCACCTCAGCCTTCCAAGTAGCCGGAACTACAGGCACACGCTACCACACCCAGCTGATTTTTTGATTAATTGTAGAGATGAGGTCTTGCTGCCCAGGCGGGTCTCGAACCCGCGGGCTCAGGCAATCCACTCACCTCAGCCTCCCAAAGGCACGGGATTACGGGCTGAGCCACTGAGCGCTTTCATCACTTACCCTTTCTCTCCTGGATCCTTAGTTGCTCCCCAGCCTAAAACATGTTGTGTCTTTTCCATCTTGAAAAGACCTTCATGGACTTCATACTGCTGTCTAGCTACCTTCCTATTCTGTACTTTTATGAGACAAACAGAACTTCTTGAAGGATGGATTACGTCCACCACCTCGCTGTCTTCTGAGTGACCCAAGAGATTAAAAAAAAAAAAAAAAACCACTCTAAGAGAACTATTACTATATGAATTCCTATCCCATGTTCACTGTATTTGTTTGCAGTGTTTGTACTTAGAATTTTGTTAAGTTTAATTTTTGTTTGTCTCATAAAATAACCAATTGCTTCCACAACTGCTGCTAGCAGTATGTGAATGTCAAGTAATAAACCCCTCCCGGACATTCCCTTGCTTAGCCTGCCTGCTGACTTTCCACTCTGCTCATTTAGCAGCTCCCCCGTCAATCACAGCTAGCTGAGCGGACCAGACCAATCCCAAGTGCCCCCCTACCCATTAGGAGAAATTACCCTATCATGTAAAAACAAGTTTAAAGTTCTTTCCCCTCCCTCTGTAATGATGTATAAAAACTGCTTGCCATGCTGGATCGGGGCTCTAGTCCCTGAAGCTGCTGCGTCGGGCGTGAGCCCAGACTCGAGCCTGAATAAAGACCCTTGTGTGTTTGCATCGGAGCTGGCTCTTTTTTGGTCTCTCGGATTCTGAAATTTGGGTTTAACATCTTCCTTCTGCTTCCTCCTTAGACTTCTCTCATTTACTGTCTCATCTGTTCTCCGAAGAACAACCAAAGTCATCTTCTGAAAACAAAAACTAAGTCATGTCTCTTCCTCACCACCATGCTCTGAACTCTGATTACACTTAGGTTACAATTCCTACTCCGCCTTGGAACGTATGCCGAGAGGGAAGAGACAGCCGCTGGTGTCGGAAAAAAGGTTTATTAAAGAAAAGCAGAGAAGGGGGAGGGCGGTGCCTGGCTCCGTGGAGAGAAACCAGGGGCCTTTGTTCTCTTGTAGGCCCCTTTAAACTCGAGTTCAGGTTAATTGGGCGCCGAGAGAAACAGTTTTAGGGATTAGGCTTGTGCACCAAGAAGCAATTTGGGGAGTCTGAGTTGTGGGTAGCCCGGCCTTCAAATGCAGATGTCGGTACTGCCGAGGCCAGCTCTGCGGCCTTGAAGTACAGGATGTCCACATCACTAGTCTCTGAAATGCAGCCTTAAGAAAGCAAATACTGACAGGCAATACCCTGGCTGTTATCAGTCACATAGCTTTGGGACGTGGGTCTCCGGGGAAAGCAGATATTGCCAGTGAAGCAATTAGTAACAGAATGCTGTTAGAGCACAGTGTTAGCTTTTGGTCCTTTGCAACTCTGTGCTCCGTCTGTGAAGTTTACATGATGAGGCATTTTAACTACAATCTCCTCTCCCATACCCCTCAAACTCTATCACACCTCCCGTCCACTCAGTCAGCCCCGGCCTATCTCTGCGGCCTCAGCCCTGTAGCAGACATCTCTCGCTTCTTGGTGCACACCAAGCCTTCCTTCTACTTGAGTGCTTTGCACACCCAGTTTCCTCTTGAAATGCTTTTTCCACGGCTCTGCCGTTCTGTTCACCCCTTCAGGCCTCTGAAATGTCACTTCCTTGGAGACATTTTCTCTAACAGTCCTGTCTGGTCCTTTATAACTCTCTTCTACTTTTAAAACATAGCACTTAGCTTTTAAATATTTAAATTTCTGTTTTGTTTTGTTTTGTTTTGAGTTGCAGTGCTCCATCGCCCAGGTTGAAAGGTAAGGGCACGCTCACGGCCACCGCAGCCTCAGGCAATCCTTCTGCCTCAGCTTTCCAAGTAGGAACCACAGGTGTGTGCTACCACACCCGGCTAATTTTTGAATTTATTGTAGAGATGTCGTCTCACCATGCTGCCCAGGCGGGTCTCGAACCCACGGGCTCAGGCAATGCTCTCGCCTTGGCCTTCCAAAGTGCTGGGATGACGGGGTTGAGCCATCGCGCCTGGTCTGTGTTGTCCATGTCCCATGGTCCTTTGTGAAAACTCTCCTTCCGTTCTGTCGTAGACTGGAGCTTAGCATTCCGCTTCCAGTTCAAGTCTCAAAGACTCACTTTCCTCCTCTTGTCCCCTAAGTACTAGTGTCCCAAGAGGGGGCAGGGCTGGGTGCAGTTTGGGGAGCTAGAGAAAGAACACTAAGGCCAGGATGAAGTGAAGAGGTGAGTTCTCCCAGAAGCCGGTCCTAAGGCAAGGGTTTGGGTACAAATCGTTCATTTCGGGAGTGACCAGGAGTCACTGGCAAGCAGCCTTCAGTGATTTCTTCTCCCTCTGACCTATGCTAATTTCCTCAATTATTTTGAGTAGTCAACTGACTCAACATTTCCACTCCTAGCCCTAAAAACCGACACCTTCCGGGGTGCGCTGTCCAAGCCCATCAGCCATCCAGTTGCCCCCGCTAGGACTCAAGGACTCATCCTGGACACGGACAACCTCCCTTCCATATGGAACCTGTGACCAAGCCGTGCCAAATTTACCTTCAGAATGTCTCTCCAGTTCTCACCATTTTAGTTCAAACCGCCGTCATCTTCCTCTAGGACTGTTTCAGCGACTTCCTCTGCGCTCCACCCAAGCAGTCTACTCTGTACTAACGTGAGAGTGATGTTCCCCAAATGCAAGTATAATCAAGTTACGACCAGTTTAAAGCTATCAAGGGCTGGTCTTTGCTCTCAGGGTGAAGGCAAAACACCACAAGATTTCCTAAAAGATTATGTAGTTTCCCATGTCTCCAACTTTATCTAACACCATCTTATTCTTTACTCATTCTACTTCAGCCACACTAACTTCTTTTCTGGATCTGGTACTTTCTACACTGGCTCCTGTCACAGGGCCTTTGCACATGCTGTTCCTTTGGCAAGGAATTCTTTTTATTGCTTTTTGGAGAGCAAATGGACTATAAGGGAGTATTCATTCTTGAGATCCCAGCTCAAGCATTAATTCTTTAGGGAATCTACCCTAGTCTCTGTGTCTTTTGTCACATTTGTGATTTAAAATTTTGTATGATTAATTTTTGCCTTGTCCACTAGGTTGCCTGCTCTGTGAAGATTGTTATCATATGTGTTTTTGTCTGTTTTCTTTGTTTTAGGAATAAGTGCAATTTTAATTTTTCTTCTTTTATTGTAGGGGTGCCATTTATATCAAATAGAGCCATTTTAGAAGTGCGAAAATAAAAGACATTAGCCATATTTAATAATTGCCAGTTCTAGTCTTCTCTATGGCCCAAGGCACAGCAACAATGGGTAATTTTCTTTCTTTCTTTTTTTTTTTTTTTTGAGTTGGAGTCTCACTCTGTCGCCCAGACTGGAGTGCAGTGGCTGCTCCCGGCCACCGCAGCCTTGACCTGCTGGGCTCTGGCGATCCTTCCGCCTCAGCCTTCCAAGTAGCCGGAATTACAGGCATGCGCTACCACGCCCGGCTACTTTTTGATTTATTGTAGAGATGAGGTCTTGCCAAGTTGCCCAGGTGAGTCTCGAACCCGTGGGCTCAGGCAATCCACTCACCTCAGCCTCCCAAAGCACGGGATTACAGGCTGAGCCACTGAGCCAGGCTGGTAATTTTCAATCTTTGCTATTTATAGTCTATAAAGCAACAATCTCATAAGACACTCAGATCCAATAATACTAAAAATAATTGGATTGCCATCTCTCCTTTCTCTAATAATCACTAAATTATATAGCTATTTAAAAATATCAACTGGGCTTAATGACTTATGCCTGCAATCCCAGCTACTTAGGAGACTGAAGAGGGGAGATTGCTTGAGCCCAGGAGTTGGAGGCTGCAGTAAGCTATGATCGCGCCACTGCACTCCAGTCTAGGCAACAGGGCAAGACCTATTTTATCCCAAAGAATAAAATAAATACAGCTTTAAAATGATGGTTTAAAATAGTCCTTTTTTCCTTTTGTTTTTTAGGGTTAGAAGCTCACACAGTATTTTTCAGAAGGATGACGAATTTTATCTTGAATGAAATGCCAAAAGCGAGGTGAGTACTGTGAAGTAGAGAATAAAGAGTTATAAAATTGTATGCTCTGTGTATCCACACATCTGTAAACCGATATACATATAAACAATCATTCAATTGACTCATCTTGGAACAGCTTGGAGATGGTGGGAGCAGTCTTCTTCCTATGGTTATCATAGCTGTTATTGGTCAGACTGTTTCCTAAAGTAATCAGGTTTATAGAGCTTAGCACCATCTCTGTATCCAGAATAACAGTCTTTAGAATCAGATCTTCTCAAGTTCAAGTTCTGGCTCTGTCATTTAACATGGGATGCATTACTTTGCCTCTCTGAGCCTAGTTTATCTCAGAATAAGACAGTAATTGTACCGTATTCTTCTTATGAAGAATAGTTGTAATGCTTAAGTGAGTTATTTGAAAAGCATCGTAGACTGGTGTGAAGTAAGTACTCGATAAATGGTAGCTTTTGATAATCATAATAACAACAGCAACAGAGTCTATGAGGACACTTGTGGAAACTTTGTGGCTCTTTATGTTAACGGTTTGAATTTTATTTTAGATATTCCAGCTTATTGAATGATTTTGTGGAATCTAACTTTTTTGTGATTGATGGAGATTCCTTGCTGGTCACATGCCTATGTGCAAAATCGTTCAAGAAGGGACAGAATCTCCACTTCTTTTATCTGGTTGAATGCTATCTCGTGGGGCTCATGCGTAACGGAGGACAATTTGCCATTGTTTTCTTCAAGGTAATCCGTGGTGATTGTCATCTTTTTAATAATTTGAAAACTATCACTGAAATCTCTTAGCCTGAAGACCCTTTTACTTAAAATAAAGCGTGTCACCATATAAAATATTAAAAAGACAGATAAGTAAGAGGAAAATATCACTCATAATTTTACTGCTCAGTGATAGCCATTCTTTAAGTTTTCAACATTTTGTCATAAGACATTTCAAGTATAGATAAGTTGAAAGACGCTGAAGCAAATTTCCACATCCCCATCACGTAAATCCTATAATTACATCTTACCCTTGCTCATCAAGTATCTATACATTTATCCATGCCCTTTGTCACCTGCCAATGATTAAAAAAAAACTGAGGGGGTATATTTCAAAGTACGTTGTAAACATTTCATTTTACTCTTAAACATTTCATCATACATGCCATTAACGAGAGCTCAGTATTTATTTGCAGGGTTTTAAAGATCAAATTTATATGAAATGCAGTAGACAAATCTTAAATGTACCAATGATTGCATGTAGGTGTATGCATAGCATTTGCTGTCCAGTACGTTTCCGCAAATGCATGTGCGACCCTAACTCTTGTTCCATAGCACATGTCCTCCTGTTCCTGCTCAGTCTACCCTTACCCCATTTCCCAGGACCAACCACTGTTTAAATTTCTTCCAACCGCATGCTAGTTTTTCCTGTTACTGAGTTTTTAATAAATAGAATTTTACGATGTGAACTCTTTATATAAGGTGTCTTTCATTCAACATAAGATTTTTGAGAACCATCCTGTTTTTTTTTTTTTGTTGTTGTTGTTTTACGTGCCTCAGTACTTTGCTTCTTTTATCAGTGCTGAGTAATGTTCGATTATATACATGGGCTACGGTTTGTTGATTCATTCTCCTGTTGAACGGACACTTGGGCTCTTCCAACATTTTGCCTATACAGATAAAGCTACTATGCACACTTGCATGCAAGTCTCTATGTGGACATAAGTTTCATTTTCCTTGTGCATATATCTATGATTGAAATTGCTGTGTCGTAGAGTGAACACATGTTTTATAAACTGCCGACTTCCACAAAGTGGTTGTGTGTCTTTACACTCCCTCCAACAATGAATAAGAATTTTGGTGCTCTGGCATACATGTGTCTTTGATCAGCCTGGTCATTCTGGTGAGTGCATAGAGCTACGCACTGTGTTTACGTTGGTATTTACCTAGTGGCTAAGGATGTTGGCCACTTTTTCAAGTGCTTGCTACCAATGTGTGATTTTCATTTTTGAAGTATCTGCTTGTCTTCTGATCATTTTAAATTGGATTCTTAATCTTTTTACTATTGAGTTAATATATCCTGGACACAATTATTGTCAGATATATTATTCCAAATATTTGCTACTAGTCTGTAGCTTGCCACTTCATTTTCTTAATGCAATTTTCTGATGACCAGGCATTTTTGTGTAGATGAAATCGAATTTATTGTTCTTTAATGGTTGCTGTGCCTGTATCCAATTTAAAGAATCACTGCCTAGCTCTCAGTCACAAAGATATTCTTTATATTTAATTCTAGAAGTATAAGTTTTACCTTTTGCATTTGGGTCTGTGATGTATCTTGAATTAATTGTGCATGTGTGTGTGGGGGGGGGTTGTTAGTTAGGGATTAAGATTCATTTGTTCCAGCGTAAATTGTTCAGAAGATTTTCCTTCTTCCGAGGGATTTCTTTGCCAAAAATCCAAGGTCTATGTATGTATGGGTCCATTTCAGGACTCTCCACTCTGCTCCATCAAAGCATTTAACAATTTACTAGTGCTAGAATGTCCCAATTAGCGTAATGTTATAGTAAATCTTGAAGTCTACTTTGTTCTTCTTTGTTCAGCTTTGGCTATTCTAGGACATCTGCATTTCCACATAAATTATAGAATCAGTTTGCCAGTGTCTATTTTAAGAGTTTGATGGGATTATAATTGATGTTTATTAAATCTGTAGATCACTATAGGATCTTTTGATTTATGAACATGGCACATCTATCTTCATTTGTTTAAATCTTTAATTTCTTTTTTTTTAATAAAAAATTGTGTATTTATTCTTATTTACTCACATTCAAAATACTCTCCATTTGATGCAATACACCTAAGGGAGATGCTTTTCCCACTGTTCGAAACAGCTTTTGAACTCATCAATTTTGGTGTTTTTTGGTGCTTCTTAACATTTTTTGTTTCACCTCTTCCGTCTCAGCAAAATGTTTCTCTTTTAGGACTTTTTTCATCAAAAAAGCCAAAGTAAAGTTGCTGAGGGAGAGATCAAGTGGATAGGGAGATGGGACATGGGGGTCATGCCGGTTTTGGGCAAAAACTGAAGACCATTCAGCGAGGTGTGGGCAGATTTGCTAGTAAATCACCCGTCATGAAATGGGCAAATATGTTGAAAGAATCTCCACACACACACACACAAATTTCACAGAGGCTGAAGGTAACCTCTTCCAACAATGCTAGCTGCTACACTGATGCCTATGGATTCCTAGAACACTTGCCTAGCAGGGAAAACCTGCACTACTAGGGGACCACCCTACAAAAGATAATTCCCTTTTTTTTTTTTAGGGGAATCTCCCTCATATATTGACATGCAATGCATTGACAGATAAAACATATATATCTTTTTTTTTTTTTTTTAGGAGAAGTGAGATGGTTAACTACTATGTTGTGTTCTTTTTTTTGGTCATTATTTATTTATTTTTTATTTTAAAGATGTGGGATACAACTCAGGGTTAGGTATACAAATGTTCATTACGCAGGCACCCTTGTTGATGAGGTGTGCCCCTCCCTCCCCTGTCAGTTTCCCATTACCGCCAATCCTCTTCTCATAGTTTGATAATTGTTCAAGGTCTGCTTATGAGTGAGAACATATGTGCTCTGTTCTTTGTTTCCGTGCTAGATCACTGAGTAGGATCAACTCTAAATCCATCCAAGTTGCTGCAAAGTCCATATGTTTGTCCTTCTTTATGGCTGCATAATATTCCATTGTGTATATGTACCACATTTGTTTTAATCCAGTTCAGTTTCGATGGGCATCATGGTTGGTTCCATGTTTTGGCTACAAGGAATAGAGCTGCAACAAACATACATGTGCAGGTTTCTCTTTTGTAGAATGATTTGAGTTCTTCTGGGTATATTCCCAATAGGGCAATTGCTGGATCATATGAAAGGTCAATTTCTAGTTCTTTCAGAAATCTCCACACTGTCTTCCAAAGAGGTGGCACTAGTTTGCATTCCCACCAGCGGTGTAGAAGCATTCCTTTTTCTCTGCATCCTCGCCAACATCTGTTGTTGTTTGTTTTCTTAGTGATGACCATTCTTACTGGGGTTAGGCGATATCTCAATGTGGTTTTGATTTGCATTTCTTTGATGATGAGTGAGGCTGTGCCCTTTTTCATGTGTCTGTTGGCTGCCCGTATGTTTTCTTTTGAGAAGTGTCTATTCATGTCTTTTGCCCACTTTTTAATGGGGCTGTTTGTTTTTTTCCTTTCAGTGCATTTGAGTTCCTTGTAGATCAGATATACAGTTGGCAAATATTTTTTCCCATTCTGTGGGCTGTCTCCCTGCTCTTTTGATGGTTTCTTTTGCTTTGCAGAAGCTTGTTAGTTTGATGAGGTTCCACTTGTTTATCTTATTTCTTAAGGTATGGCCATTTAGGGTTCTGAATAGAAATTGGTGGCCAGTTCCAATTTCCTTAAGGGTGTCTTCTGCATTTTCTCAGATTCTTGTAGTTTGAGGTTGTTTTTTTTTTTTTAATCTTTAATTTCTGTCATCAATGTTTTGTAGTTTTTAGTGTGGTGGTTTTCTACATCTTATGTTAAATATGTTTCATGTTTTGATTTTATAAATTGAATTTTTAAAAATAAGTTTTAGGCTGGGCTCCGTGGCTCAGCCTGTAATCCCAGCACTTTGGGAGGCTGAGGCGAGTGGATTGCCTGAGCCTGCGGGTTCGATACCAGCCAGGCAACTTGGCAAGACCTCATCTCTACAATAAATAAAAAATTAGCTGGACGTGGTGGAGCACGCCTGTAGTTCCAGCTACTTGGAAGGCTGAGGTGGAAGGATCGCCAGAGCCCAGCAGGTCGATGCTGGGGTGGCCATGAGTGTGCCAGTGCACTGCAGTTTGGGTGACAGAGTGAGACACCAACTAAAAAAAAAAAAATTAAAAACTTTTTTTGCTTTAAGTGTATAAAAGTATAATTGATTTTTGTGTATTAACCTAGTATCCTACAATCTTAACAAACCCACTTATTCATTTTAGTCACTTGTCTGCATGTTCCTTAGATTTTTCTACATGTCTTCAGTGAATAAATATATGGTTATTCCCTCTTTTTCAATTTTTTGTCTGTGTTTTTCCTTTTCTTGCCTTATTACACAGACTGGGACGTCTAGTAAATGTTCGAGTAGAGTGGGTGGGAGCTTTACCTTGTTCTTGCTCTGTTTTACTATTAGATATCATGTTAGCTGTAGTTGTTTTATAGATACATTTTATCAGATTGAAGAAATTTCCTTCTATTTTAGCTTTCTGAGAGTTTCTATTATTAACAGAAGTTAAATTTTTAAAAATTTATATATATAAAGAAATTCTTTTCCTTCATATATTGGAATTAATTATGATATGGGTTTCCTCTTTTATTTTCTTAATTTGGTGAAAGACTAAATTATTTAAAAATATTAACTCAACCTTTTATTTTTGGGAAAATCTCACTTGGTCATGACATATGTGTATTTAAATATATTGCTGCATTTGATTTCCAAATGTTTTAAGTTTTTTTGGACATATTGATGAAAAATGTTGGTCGTTTATCTTTTTATAATATATTTGTCTAGTTTCAGTACTGAGATTATGCTAACCTAGTAACTGTGTTAAGAAGCCAATCTTCCTCTTGTGTTTTCTGAAAGAAGAAAAAAACTTTGTAAGATTGGCATTATTTCTTCAGATAAATCTGATACAATTGTCCTGTGGAGTCACCATTTTGGTCTGGAGTTTT